GTAGGAAACGATACCGAACCCCTTTTTTTCTACACTGCTGAAACAAAACTCTGGATATTGTCCAATAAGATCCAGGAATATCTCCTGTCAAGTCTTGCAACATTTTGAGGGGATTTGATGATTTTTCAGGACTCAGATCACTCAAATACAATCAAGGTTTTACTTCAGGATCATCGACTTTGGGCTGAAGACATTCTTAGTTTTACACCTTTTCAGAATCATCAAAGCTGAGTTATTTTGTTTGTATTGGGACTGTTTTTGTATTTACCAGAATTAGCTTGAGGCTAATTTTCTTTGGCACAATCTGGACAGGTCACATTCAGGTTTCATGGATGCTTTAATACATTTCTCCTCCAAATCCATAAGAATGAAACACAAGAAGCCATGTGACTAACTTCCTATTGAGCAGATATTCTATCAGTTGTCAGAAGCAATCAAATCCTCGTTTGATTAATCGAGTATTTGACATTTACCCATCACAAAATGTCAAATATTGACTTGTTCCAGCGATCAGAATGGAAGGATTTGCAGCTTTTCTCTTCATTATGTTTCAGTGAATTGAGAAATGAAGTCGTTTTAAAGTTCTGTGGTGAGAATTTAAAACCTGGAGCAAAACTTGTCTCAAAGTGAAAACATAGGAAAGACTTCTCCTGACGTTGACGTTTGACTCATTCAGAGAACATAAATCTGAAAGGATTCGCGTCCAAATACAAGAAAGAAGCCGCTCTTACACATCCGCTTCTTCTCCTCAATTGTCCCCTCGTTTCATGTCCCCACGCTAACTCGGCGTCTGCTTAGAAGCACATTCAGTTTTTCTGTGTGTTCATCACTTCAAACAGGCGCCTTTCAAAGAGAACATTTATTGTTTATTCCAATGTGGTGGAGTCTTTTTTTTTTTTTTTTTTTAACAAGGAGGATTTAATTGGACTCTCTTTGCTTCGCTGAGCTTTGCACGATTTCCTTCCCTGCTTTGTTCTGGAGGCAGAGAAGTACCCAAAGATCGCTCCAAAGTAAACGTCCGTCTGTGTTTGCTTTAATCTCTCCATATTGTGCTAAAATAAAAAAAAACCTAACACAGCAGAGTAATCGCTTTCTGAGGCGTTAGCCAAGTGTTGTTTTTTCCCTCCTCCCCTCCTTCTTCTTTCTCTTTATGAGAGAGTTATTTCAAATGGGTCTTTGACGCACTTTACACGCTACAGTGCATTAAGACAGACAAAGAGACGGCACTCTCTGGAGAAGACCCAACCGTCTCATGCAAGATATCCAATGTGGGAAGTGTGGGTGTTTATCTGGAGCTTTTGAATTTGTGCATATGTGTATCTGAGGTGAGAGCAAATCAAGATTTGGCTTTGAAAACACTTAAAGGTCACATATTCTCCTCCTTTTTAAGAAGTTTAAATAATTCTCAGATCTCCCCAAAACATGTGTGTGAAGTTTCTTGTTCTAAATCCACTCTGATCCTGTATTTGATCATTCTATAAGCCCCTCTATTTCAGCCCTGCTCAGAACAGGCTGTTTCTGTGTCTGTACCTTTAAATATGTAAATGAGCTGTGTCTGACCACGCCCCCTCTCTGGAAGGGCTTGGGTGTACTCAGTGCTTTCTCGCTCCATGTCCTATTGTTTACGGTGAGAAGGCAGACTCAGAGGGCAGAACAAACACCTAGCTGTGGGAGTGTCACCCACCTGGAGGAGGGGCTACTGCACTTTGTGATGTCATGAAGGGAAAATCTCTAAACGGCCTGTTTGAGCACACATTTTCTGAAAAGTGAGCAGGCAGAAGATGGAGAGGATGGACTTTTCTCATTTTTTGTGGTTTTGTAGACAGACTAGAGACACATGTTAGTGTTACAGTTTGTTTTACATCATATGTGACCTTTAACACAATAAAAAAATCAACCTTCAATTCAATTCAAAAAACTTTATTTGTCCCCGGGGGGCAATTCAAAGGCACACAGAGCAGTAAATTAACAACAGTGCAAGTAAACCTTTCATTCATAAGAACGTACTTTGGAAGAACTGAACAATTTGCAATATGCAAAGAAGAGTGATTAACTCAGCTTAGAAAGGAAAAGGTCTGAATTTCATGCCATCTTAAAGACTTACTCTGCGACTTTCTGAGCAGATTTCCAGATCCAAACAAATTCTCTCTTCCGAGCTCCCCATAGACAGCAGCCGACGAGCGCCAACAAACAAATGAAATCAAGACTCTGCGTTCAATTTAAAGAAATGATAAACATCCCAACTGAATCAACTTTAAGAGACTTTTCTGGCCATATGAAGTCTCTCATCTGTTGGTTCTCCTTCAGATGGACTCTCACAACGACACTCTGGTCATTGTGCCACAGCTTCCCTGAGTGGGCGGGGCCGTCTCTCTTCCCCCACTTGGCAGGGCTAACAGTTTGGACGGGGAGGGGTTCACTCCAAAACAACATGTTTGAGCCTCTGATCGAAACATTTTACAAACTGAACACAGAGATTAAAAATGCAACTCTTCATCAG